TCTTAAAGCTAGCATTGTTTGCCATAACATTCCAAGATGCAGATGACATAAATTGATAATGATTTAATGCAAATGTTGATACTACTGTGTCAATGTTGGATAGGACATTAATATATATATAAACAGTATACATGTCGGCAACCTACTTTATCATTGGCTAAGACTTGCTTTGGCTGAGGAACCGATCCTGCAGTAAACCGGTATACTCAAAGCCATACTATCATGAGGTAGAATTAAACCTTTCAAAAGTGTTCCCAAATGTTGTTGCTGCATTTAAATAAATGTTTTTTCCTGAAAACTCAACTTGGTGGTTTCAATGTAATTGTTTCGGCTTTATCTCACTGCAATGCATCGATGATTATACATTGACACAAGAGGGCAGTGTTGCTGCTTGAATCTGATGTGGTGAAAGGACTAGTTTTTAATCCGAATATTCAGTTTGAAATACAAAAGGCTTATATTGATCTGCCATGTATGCTATTTGTTAACTAAATGTAGAATTCAATGCGCATCATGAGTGTATATTTTGGTGCTCTAGCCAATATAATTTATTATTGACTGAAACAATTCAAGGATTCTCTTATTTGATCATTAATTAATCTTATTGGTTAACATTGTTTAGCGACATTGCAAACTCACTTTCAGCCCCAAAATGTCCATGTTCATAACTTGTGGCCAAGCTGTAATTTTTACACGGAGTGATTCGGTGACAAAGCACCAAGATGTGAGCAGTAGAACACTGTTTGGTGGCTCCCTGACCTTTTCTTCATTTTCCTCTCAAGCAGCCACAGCTATTTCCCCTCATTAGGCGCACCAGCCATTGGAGTGTGCAGCTCCTATGTGTGGGCTAAGGTTCAGGAGGGTGTCATAGTCCACTGCTGAATAGGTTGTCCACTAATTACTCGGTGTGTATGTGTGTGGTCGATGGAAGTCAAGGCTATTGATTATTTTAATCCTCCTATTTGTGAGTCTGTGATCCTCGTGGCTCTGCATTCGACAGGGGAATTACTAATGGGCCTCAGCGCAGCCTGTCTCAGACCTCTCCCCGTCCAATTAACTTTCAACTGGAATCTGCCAGGAGAGAGAGCCGGGGGCTGGGCCCAGGCGCCGCTGCATCCCTCTCTCTCCGCTCAGGAGCAACAGATTCGCAAAATCCTTTAAGTCTAATGAGAATGCCATCAACTCTTGTCTCTAATTAGACACCCTTCCTTTTTTCTAGTATTCGAGATTCATTCTCTCTTACAGATGATGTCTCTTTCTCACTGATCACAAACTATTAAAGTGGCAAAAATAATTACATTGATAAACTGGTCAAATTATAACAACACAGTGTGGAAATATTTTTCCCCAGACTATAGTTTTAAATATCGCACACAGTTGTGATTTGTAAGGAAGAATCAATTATGAAAATATACCCAGTGTAATTAATCAAACTTAGATTTAGTCGGCTAAATTATTCCCTGCCATTGATCAAATATACTATGTATTCAGGAATATAAATTCACTGTTTTGTGTGTGAGATAATTCACACAATGATTTTCATAAAATCCCTGTAGTATCATCAATAGGTTGAGAGAAAAGCACAAATGTTACTTATGTAAGATTTCGCAAATCTCGTGATGTATTTCTTTTTTATTTCTGGGCTCTCTAACAAATGATCTTGGTACACTTTTTTTAAAACAATGTCAAGCCTCATTTGACACCGAACCAATTTTGGTAGTTTGTACAATTGATCCTTATATTGTTACATTTGAAATGTACAAACCATCTGTATTTTGTAGACCCTGGGTGTATTATAAGCAGAGATCGATAGAGCAGTATGAATCTTTGTGTCTTACACAGTGTCTTAAGCCATATTGGAAATCCATGTCGAAGCAGGCGGCGGATGTGGTACACCCCTGCTGCTTCGATTTTCAGCTGTAAGTCCACGCAGACATGTCATATATCTAATTCTCAGTGTGTCCAAGTGGTCACTCCAAATAAAACTGAACAAGGGTCTGCATGTGTGTATGACTGTAAAACGTACAAGCCTTTATTCAGCCCTGACATTGACCACGGCAAGAAAACACACGAGTTGGGTATAGATATTTTAATAGCAATTGTCTACTCTGCCAATTCGACATACCAGATAGCCCATTCCAGGATAACTGTGTTTATACATGTGATGATACTTTGACAGGGTCTCTCAAAAATAAAGTACTAAGTAGATATGGCAGTGTTATTATTACAGTAACGTGCCTGTAATGTATTATACAACATTTATTGAAAGTAAAACACTGAAGCTCTTACTTTTCACAGCCTCATTATATTACAGTATTTATGTATCCATTCATACATACTGTCCCCCCCCCCCCCCCACACACACACACACACACACACACACACACACACAATATAGAGGGTATGCACTGACATTACTTTTCCATCTGAAAACATCAGAACATTATTGAGAATAACAGGCAAAAAGGCAAAACAACATCCTGCATCATTGCTCCTGTTTTTGAGTGAAACTGCAAAACCCCAAAACAAACAAGTATCTCTTTAAGTTAAAGGCAGTTGGAGTTAATACCAATAGACATTCTGATCGTTTGTCAACAGGTTTGAACACATACACATATCACCTTTTATTTTGAAAAACTCTAAGCGGCTTTTTTTCCTAGTTTACCATAGAGTATATCTCTTTGTCTGAGGTACAAGCTGTAAAGGTCATCATCATCATGAGTGTTTAATACATTTTGACAAAACATTTCACAGTAACACATAATTGAAATGAAAGATGATAAATACTTAATTCAATACCGTTTATAACATATGATTTTACCCAAAAGTTCAACATACCGACGAAAAAATGCTACTCTAAATCAATGTTTTCCTGCATGGATTGTAGTTCTTTCTGCATATGGTAAAAAAGATAGCTCTAAATGCTTGTTGAATCTACTCATACAGTAAATCGTACAACAGCTCTTATCAATTTAAGATGCATATTTTATGTTTTTGCCACCTTTTGCCTTACATAAACGGTGACATGTGCATACCCTACATGTCAACAATGTACTTGGCAATTAGAACTTTATCAAACACAAATGGCATCCATAAAATGTGTTGTGTGTGTGTGTAATATGTTTTGTTTTATCTTGATGTGATGTCCTGTGTCATTATGGAAACAGGAACTAAAGGTGAAACATCTGGGTTTCATTCAGACAGCGTTATTTTAATCAGTATGTTCCCAATGCAGGGTGAATCACAACAGGGATTACATTTCAACTGGTGTTATTCACTTCAGGGAAATATTTTACAATGATGAGTTGCAAAATATAGGCTACGCCATTTGATCAGAGGCCATTGGAATGGATAGCAGAAATCTAAAAAATAAAGACTATGACAGTGGGTGAATTCGTCTCAGCTTAGTCATCTTGTGGAATGGCACCCTCAATACCATTATTGCAATACAAATGAATTGAACTCATGGTGTTTGATATATTCTGGTCCTCACAATATTAGGTTAGATGGAACACGCTAACGTTTTTTAGATATTTCATAGCCGCAATGTGCAATTGTTATGTGCACCTAATACCTTACATCTTCTGACGTTTATATTTGCACAAAGGGTGACAGATAATTGCAGTTGTTCATGATGACTGGCTCAGAATCACGCAGCTGGATTTATCCCACTTATCTCAGATTTTCACTCGATCTTTGCCTCTGTTGTAATCTGTTGTAGTGTGTGTGTGTGTGTGTGTGTGTGTGTGTGTGTGTGTGTGTGTGCATGCGTGTGCGCGCGCATTGTGCGTGTTTCTATGTGTGCATTTATTTGCATAATTACATTTAACTGGGAATGTGTGTGTGTGTGTGTGTGTGTGTGTGTGTGTGTGTGTGTGTGTGTGTGTGTGTGTGTGTGTGTGTGTGTGTGTGTGTGTGTGTGTGTTGCTTTCCATTTTCTGTAAGGAATGGTTATATTCAGTCTGGGTAGATGAGGAAGCCGGAGAAGGTGCTGTACTTGTTTNTAGTAGTAGTATATATACTACTAGTATAGTACTATATAGTAGTAGTAGTACGTAGTACGTAGTAGTAGTACGTAGTACGTACGTACGTACGTACGTACGTACGTACGTACGTACGTACGTACGTACGTACGTACGTACGTAC